TTTTGGTCACTGACAACGGCACACACTTCACTGCAAAATTCCTCGAGGAATGGTTGAAGGGTCTTGGTTGTCGACATCTGTTTACTGCTCCGCGACATCCCCAGTCGAATGGACTTGCTGAAAATTTTATCCGAACACTAAAGTCTGCTATTATTTCACTCTCTCCTACTACTTTTGTGGAATTGGACCGTGGGATTGATAATTTTTCAATGCAATACAGGAACGCCGTCCATTCCGTTACTGGGAAGAGTCCCGCGCTTCTATTTAAATCTCGTTCGTTGCGTACAAGTCTTGACTGTGCCAAAACGGCTGATGTTACATTTTTCAAAGGTAATGATTTACAGGAATGATACTTTCATCAACTGGCAAACGGATGGTCACAATTCTCGATTTGGATGATCTCTCTTGTCATCGGAGACACATTGACCAGGTTGAGTTCAATACCAGAGGTCAGTCTGTTAACGGCACTCCTGCTGTTTCAAATACTAATGAGTTCTTTGTAGATGATCTTGTTGTATCCGAACAAAATGCTGTATCTGAAGAACGTACTACCTGTGAAGACTCTGAAGTTTCCATTCCGAGAAGATTCGAAAGATTGCGGTCAAGACCACCATTGGACTATAAACACCCGCACGCTCATTCAAGGTGTGGCGGATGTGATGAACATGACTGATGCTCTATTCACTGCTCTATTCACTATTCTCTTGTTTTCATATTCCATATGCTGTATATATTCGCCAATTAGAATACATATGTGCTGGTTGCCACTCTTTGCTGAATTCTGGATTTCTAGTTTGTCGGGTTATACCGATATACGTACGAAACTTAATTCCCACAAATTCCCTGAACATTCTACTATCTACATGGACCTCGTGGATGCAAAGTATGCGAAGGTGTCATTCTTTAAACAATTTATGCTCAGTGATTGCTGTAACCGGTCAAAATTGCATAGTCCACGTTCATCGTTGCTAAAAAAAAGTCCTTCAGGTTTGTTGTTAAACCGCAGAGTATTCCGTTATAAATTGAGAATTTACCAGAAAGACCATGATGTTCACCGCATATTCACATGGAACCTACATCGATCATAACGGTCAGGTGAACGACCCTGGCTGACGCACATGAGTAGCACGCAGCAAGGAGTCCATCATACCTAGTCACTCCGCTGTTTGCGAAGGCCAACGAAAGCTGTCGGCGGTGGTTTGGGAACAAGTGTAAGGGACACACTATTTTCCAGTGGGTTATAATCCGACAGCCATCGTCAGTGGGCTGGGAAGCAAGCTAGGAAAAAATTAATGCAGAATAGTTCTCACTGCTTCAAATGCACTGATCACTTGATCTCAGCTTCAGCACACCTTGTTTTCCCAACACTTATCAAGGGTAGCCTTGGCGGTCGCGGCCTTAATTGCCCCAAACCAAGAGAACACACATACGTAGTTATTCGATAGAGAGAACTCAGACGTCATCCTCCAGGATTTGCCGTTTGCCACAGTGGCATGATGTACGCATCTCAAATTCTCTCATGAGCCACTAAGTGTGTCGGGATACTTTTTGTACGGCACACCGCAGCGTGTTGGGGTGGAGCACCGGGTATTTAAGGCGACCGTTCGAATTCACCAGACTGATGTTGCTCACACTACCAAAGTGAAATATTCCGGATTGTTAGTGTACGGCCCATTTTCGGATGATGTACAACCAGCGGGCCGAAAGATAGAAAACAAATCGTGAGCAGGTACGGCGATGAAGCTGCGCATGTTGTCGGAATCTTTTTGTTTGTATCACGATAGACAAAAAACTACTGCACGGCGTTGTCCACTCGAGCCATGCGTTTGAATATATTCCAGGTGTTCGCAAAGCGTCTACCACAAAAAAACACATGGATAATAAATGATACATACGTGCTTCCTGATAGGTTTTCTGATATAAAAGAGGCAAAGCGTCACGTCACTGCTGAACACAAATCTTGCGGCCCGCATTTGCGTCGCCAGCTTGTCCATAATGGAAAGCCGAATGTGATAGTGCTTGCGCTTCAATTCCTTGAATAGGTCTAACGGCTTGCGCATCGAAGCAAACCTCTCACTCTCCGCCAACGCACATTTAACCAGACACTCGTCCTCTATGCTGTCCGTTGTCGGGACGGTATACGGTCTGTAGCTGCGGCCCGAATATTTGAAAAAAAACTTACACAAAACTGTTCGTCGCTTTGTTCCGTCCAAAATCACTACACCTGGCAGGCGTCAGAACAACGCCATCTGCTGCCATCGGGAGAAGCATATGTATCTAGAGTGACCTTCCTTTGACTGCTACGTCCGGTTTCCGAAGTTTTGCCAGGACCAAAGACACATCATCTGCCAAAATAAAACTTAACTATGAAGCAACTTCCCAACAGAGTCGGTCGACACTCCCGTGGGCAGTTGAATACATCCTGAGTGGTAAGGATCTTGCCGAGCTCGTCGGCACAAACTGCTGCACCTCACACGACGGCGTTCCACATTTCAGAAGGGCCCTGCAGGTTCCCCATTCGTCTTCGGTTACTAGTGGTTTAACCGGAAGCCGATCGTACAAAAACTGACGAATTTTGGTTGTGACTGCCAGTTGGTTCCTTCGCCTCCGTAGACAAATCCGCAGTATAAAGTCTGGGCTTCGCGTACCGTTTTTTACTCGCAAATACGCTCAGCTTAATAGATTCTTTAGATTCCCCGAATTTACGTTGGTCCTGTAGGTGGACAGCTGCATTTGGAGTACACCCATTCGTAGGGCTAAACAGCGTTGATGCTTCGATTACTGAATGAACACATGAATACCACATAGTTATCCTTCATACATTGATTTAAGGCCTTCCAAAATGCCGTGAAGCATGACAAGGATACGGCTCCGAAGTTCTAAACAAACTCTAGTGAAGCCACAGCGAAGTCACAGCACGGCGCTCGGTATTCGCACAATGGAATTGAAAGCTCTAAGGTGTCCCTGATGGACTAAGGCATTCGAGCAAATAAGCTCAGAGAATCAGTCCAGAAATTTGAGCCTCATTTAGTGGTCCCGCATCTTTGGCGATGCTAGGAAATTATTCCAACGGTCTATTCCGCCGGAGGTACGACTGCTTCACTGGATAATGAAATTTGGTGAAATACGAAAATATGAATGTAGATTAGAATGGTTTTTCGTTTGAGCAAATACGCAACAAAATGCAACATTTGGGTCTAAAAAGTTTTCCGCCGCTCACAAAGGTTTTGCAGCCGGGAGCACTGTGTGCTTAACGGACCCCATAGCAAGGTAAGTTCGAAGTCGAATTCGCGTTGAAAATTTCGACGAGATTAAATAAAAGAAATCACAGAAAATGACGATATGTGAGGGTGATTTTCGGTCTGAGCACATATGTGTAGCAATGCAACATTTTAACGTAAAAAATTTTATTTCACTCGCAAGGAGAAAAATGCATCATCAGTCGTGTATCAATCCGTGAATCCGTGAATCTGTGCATGCATTCAGTACGACGTGGGTCGTCGCCACTGAGGGGACCTAATTCTTACTTATGCCCTGTTTGAACAGCGATTGGCCGGCAGGTTTTTCATCGTTGACCCAGCAAACACAAGGCGGCGACGTGGTAAGATTTTCAAGCTCAGGGCACACGCTTTCTTTGGGCAAAATTTTTCTCATTTCGTGTAGTAGCTGCGTGGAATGACCTCCCTCCGACGTTTGTCCACACTCCCTCTAGAACCCAGTTCAAAGCACTACTATGCATTTACTTATGCGAATCCTCGCGCTGGCAAGCATGCTGCCCCACGCTGAGAACATAGAGGGCACTGCTACACCATTTTTCACTTATGCTTTTCAGGTGAGCGACAGCCGCTGAACAGCAGAAACGCAACCGATCCGGTAACCTTGAGCAAAAGCCTTGATCCTGTGATCACGGATTCACGGACTGATACACAGAATCGAGGCTTTTGCTCAAGTTTTCCGGGTCACTTTTTTCTTGTCGGGCAATCCGGCAATCCGGGAATCTAGTGAATAAAGCGGCGACCATAACCGGCCAACTCACACTCTATCTTTGCCTCTCCATCTAAACAGATACTAGCCCTCACTTATAGTGAAACAACCCACCAGCCAGGCTCCACATCTATTTATTAAATAGTTTCCTTCGCCCACACAAATGCTCAGTAACACACACATGCCTTTTTACAATTTGCACCCGCTTATACCTTGCTCCAAGTGTAATAGGGATTAGCCATTTTATTTCAGATCTTCTGCACAAATTTGAGCAACCATGATACAAACTGGTCCCAGTCAGCCAACTTCCTATTCTCTACTCATCAGTCCTACTGGATCCCTCGGCCCTATCGAACCAGATAGTTGACCAATCACGTGCTGGTTTAAGATTGAGTCGGCCGCTGGCTAGTTGCAAAGCGGCTCACGGAAGGTTGCAATGGGTGAGAAGACAGCACTACAGGTTGGTTCCACGGCGTCTCTCTGATTCCTTCATCTTTATGTAGAAGGGAATAGAACTCGCCAACGAGGCCGCTGCCAAAGATAAAGCTGGAGAATACGATGAAGCTCTATCACTTTATGGTAGAGCCGTTGAGTTTCTGCTGCATGCAGCTAAATGTAAGAATATGATGTCGACAACGAACAGTTTCTAGATGCAGCCCCTGACCCAAAGATAGAGGCTACGATCCGTAAGAAGTGTTCATCCTATCTTACTAGGGCGGAGTATATCAAACAACAGCTGAAGAGCAAGAAGCCAAAGGTAAGCTAGTGCTAGGGTCACTTATTTTTTACTGCCACTCCTGAAATTTTACATACATATCTAGTGAAGTCGACTACTTTTGTTCGTGTACTTTTAGCCCCGGTTCTGTCCACTAGTTCCTGTAGGAAGTAGGTCGCGACTGGGACTATATCGTCTGTCTGTCAGGAACTAATATTGAGGCCGGAGCGGATGTGGTCTCTTTTACTGGCACAAATCAACAACAAAACCTAGGTCATATATGCTAAACGTGTCGCAAGGGCAAAATTACATATAGCCAGAAACAGAAATGTTCCAAATATTTGTGAACCGCGAAAGTTGAAGTGTACTAAAACTAAACATATCATTGACAAACAACTCATCAAAGCTACACTATCTGAAGACGCCTGTGGCGTTGTATTCCCAGTAGTAGATAGGTATATGCACCTTTTATAACCTGACCAGTGTGTGGAGCCCTTTTGTTGGTCATGTCCCCTCTTTCTGTCACGAAAACGTTCAGCTTTCGGTGCCTAGCTGCCATGCCAACAGAAGGAGGCACGAGGGTCGGAGTAGTACCAGGTTGTAAGCCTAGACAGGGTAATTTATTGGGTCGGCCCTCGATATTTGATCCGAGGTATCTCCCGTTGTAGGGTGAACCATGTAACCTTGCGGCGGCTTGTACACTTCTTTGACCCATTTGAGTATATGGTGGTGTTTTTTTAGGAATTCTACATGCTGTACGTCACTATGTTTAATGAGCATAGTCACAACACGTAGGCTCATGCCCCATGGAGTGGGCTGGAGCACATTTGACTTGTCAGTGGAAAACTGCGCTCCTGTAGTAACGCACCAGCACCTACCTCCGGTCACCATCCACCGAACCTGTCAACTTGAAGTGTTGACCGTGCTTCCTCGCTGTACTGATCCCATGAACTACACTCCCCGGAACTTCGTCCCACAGCAAGCAACCACGTCGGAAAGGCAAAAGGTTAGCAATAGAACAAAGAAGTAAACCACCATACTACGATCGTCCATAGTATGAGGCAGTCCGTAAACCGATTCGCACTATTCTCGGCTGTGGTAGGCGGTAACGTCCTTAAGCAAAACAAACGTGGAAGCAGCGCTTTTGTCTTCCCTCGAGGAGAGTGAGTTATAGCTGGTTGGTCCTGGGGAACGCCCACTCCAGTCTTCTGGCAGGTGACCGTCACCGCCGACGAATTGTGCATTACGATCTAAATGCACTTACGAAACTACCTGCAACCGATGTGGCGCCAATACATTTGCACCACCTAGTAATATCAGAAGTAGAACACATATGGCCTACTCTCTGCGTCCTCTATCTAGGCCAGTACTCCACAACCAATCGGACCAGACTACTGTGTCATTTCATCTAAATGTGGCTCCTCAAGCGAACCCTGTTATCCACCGCCTTGTGAATCGGGCTTTTGATTCAAAGGCTTCGGCTGGAGCCCTGGAACGAAATCCTACATTTTCCCATAGCCTTACAGGTTGGGGTTTTAAATCTTCAGCCCATTGTCGGGTACTTCAAACAATCCCGCTCTTTAGCCTGAAAAACCAAGAAGAATCACCCGCATCTATAGCTCTCCACTTGTTACCACGCCCTTCAAATGGTTTACTACGGTCATTCAGCCCAGCAGTTCCCCACCCATTCTTTCGTAACCAAATAAACCAAAACGATCACTTACTAGATCCCAAACATCACGTCGTGACCTTCAGCGTCCGTACTCTCTCAAGTCAGGCAACAGATATCTCTTGCCGAAACATTGTTTTATCTTTTTCTTCTATGTATGTTGTGTCTCTGAAGACAGGCACAAAACTGCAGTTCGGTCTTCCACCGCTTAGAATGGGGTCAGATGTTCCACATTTTACTCTTTGGATAGCCTTGGATCCTGATCCTGATCCAGTGACACTGTATCTGTAGCGCGGTAGCCGCACTCAGCCTTAGAGCTGAAAGCACTTTATTGGACTAGATTTCTGTAGACAGCCATTTCGCTATATGGTTGTTTGGTTCGATTAAGATCAGTGCAAATCGATGTGGTAAACGGTGTTGTCGACTCAGTACATGCTCCCGTAGACCGCGGTTTGAAGTTCGTGTTTTTATATAGATCTCTCATGCCTGTTTTGGTCAGCAAGAAGAAGCTATTCCAGTGGGTGTTGACTTTGTGCCGGCTTAGTTACCGACAGGTTTCGCCTCAGGATTGTTTATACCGAACCATAGTATTTCCGGTCAGCACCCTCAATGAGTTCCATTGGTCAACAGTATGGATCGTATTCGGACAAAAAGCTGCTGAAAACACATGAACGCAGACTAGTTGGAGGATGAATTGAGAGGAATGTAGGAATACCTGCTGCCGGCTTCAGAGGTTTTCACTCGGCAGCCTACCTGACCACTGGGTTTCGCCGAGATCAGACGATAGTATTGCTGTCATAGAAGGCATATCAGGAACTCGTGACTGCGTTCGTGCACGCAAATTTTCAAAGCGTCGGCTACCCAAGATCCTAAAGGTTGTGGAGGTTCGGGAGCCACGGATCTCGTTGC